TTTTTTCTCGTTGAATCTAATTAATTTATGAACCGTTGAATTATGCTTTGTGATGATACTATAAGAAAATGATGGTATTCCTTGTTATATATGGTTTCTGTACGTTGGTTTTGTTTGTGGTGTTTTCCTTTTATTGTGCCGCTTGTTGGTTATTGCATGTATAGTGGTTTTCAAGACACTTCTAACGTTATAGATGATAGCAATCATTGTTTTTTTTCATGAGTCCTTTTTTTTGTTTTCTTATGATTCTTTTCAATGAGATAGTGAAAAGAATGATTCTCTGGATTTGATGTATTACGCTCAAGATTTTGGGCATTTTGTAAACTTCTTTTTTTCTTTGGGTTTTGTTGTGGTTTGAAAGAGCCTCTATCAGAACGTTTAGAAAGAATTGAGGTTTTGGTTTTTTAATTTCTGTGTCACCTATCCCTTTAGTCCCTCCTTGCGGAGGGGTCTGGAGGGCAAGGAAGACTGGAATCTCCCACTTTCCAAGTCCTGCCGGGTGATTCTTACGACAGAATAAAGGAATTAATGTTTATCATTTTTTTGTTTATGTTTTGAGACGTAAAACAATTGTTTGGAATTTTTTTGAACTTCATAGAATATTTTTTTTTCTGTTTCTTTTTATTTGTTTTCATTGATTGACCCAAGTAGGAAGCATATTCCAGCAAAAAAATTTTGAGCTTTTTTTTGTTTTTTACACTTTTTGGATAATACTGAAAAACCTGTTTTATCAGTCTATATCTTTCTTGACAAAGAAAGAGACTATTGTTTAATACGTTTATTGTAAATATTTTTTTCTGCAAAGGAATATTTCTGTATATCATTATACTTATTTTCTTCTAACATGTATATAGAATATTTTTTCTCATTCCTTTTTATAATAAGTATTAAATGGAAAATAATATAAGTGTAATATGTTTGCAATGCTCTTAGTCGTTTTTGTTTTGTTTTGTTTTGGTCGACGAAGAGAGATTTTCTATGCTCTTATTGGTGTATTGGTATGGTTTNATTTATGTGATTGGTGGCCTTCATTTGTTTAATTAAGGTAATTAAGAAAACGTCTTTTTTTCGGTGTAAGAATTCAATCAAAAAACGGAAGCTAGAATGCATTAAGTGTAAATACATATATTTTTTTGTTTGGGTGGGGGTGAAAGGAATATTTCTGTATATTATTATGCTTGTTTTGTTCTAACATGTATATGGAGTATTTTTTCTCATTCCTTTTTATAATAAGTATTAAATGGAAAATAATATAAGTGTTATACATGTGTTTGCAATGGTTTTAGTCGTTTTTGTTTTGTTTTGTTTTGTTTTGGTTGACGAAGAGAGATTTTCTATGCTCTTATTGGTGTATTGGTATGGTTTTNGTGTGTGATTCTTTGCGTGAAAGCCACGTGGTATTGGGAAATAAGAAGCCCCTATGTATAATGAACGCATATTTCCCTCTAAACAATTATGCCTGTGCATGGTCAGTTTATTTTTCTTTATGGATTTATGTGATTGGTGGCCTTCATTTGTTTAATTAAGGTAATT